GTGTACCAGCTGACCCTAGTGGGGATTGGGTGGTCTCAATGGCATGTGAGTGTGATTAGAGAATTATGTTTAGTTCCTCATATATGTCTTAAGAAGAGAATCACGTTTAGTTCCTCATACATGTCATAAGAAGAGAATCACGTTTAGTTCCCTATACATGTCATAAGAAGAGAATGTTTAGTTCCTCATATATGTCTTAAGAAGAGAATCACGTTTAGTTCCTCATACATGTCATAAGAAGAGAATCACGTTTAGTTCACTATACGTGTCATAAGAAGAGAATCACGTTTAGTTCCCTATACATGTCATAAGAAGAGAATCACGTTTAGTTCCCTATACATGTCATAAGAAGAGAATCATGTTTAGTTCCTCATATATGTCTTAAGAAGAGAATCACGTTTAGTTCATCATACATGTCATAAGAAGAGAATCACGTTTAGTTCCCTATACATGTCATAAGAAGAGAATCACGTTTAGTTCATCATGCATGTCATAAGAAGAGAATCACGTTTAGTTCATCATGCATGTCATAAGAAGAGAATCACGTTTAGTTCATCATACATGTCATAAGAAGAGAATCATGTTTAGTTCCCTATACATGTCATAAGAAGAGAATCACGTTTAGTTCCTCATACATGTCATAAGAAGAGAATCACGTTTAGTTCCCTATACATGTCATAAGAAGAGAATCACGTTTAGTTCATCATACATGTCATAAGAAGAGAATCACGTTTAGTTCCCTATACATGTCATAAGAAGAGAATCACGTTTAGTTCCCCATTAATTGTATAAATTCAAGTGGAGTTAGAATGACGAAAGGTAGACATGTGAACGTCGCCTTCCTCTGCGCAGCATTCCCTTGGGGTAATAGCTCCATGTAATTAAGTAATTAGTTAATTTGAAATTTCTCCCCCTCATTGCCTGATCGCCCTTTGTGTACCAGCTGACCCTAGTGGGGATTGGGTGGTCTCAATGGCATGTGAGTGTGATTAGTTATTTGATGGGGAAAATCCACAGGGTTCGATTTGACTGCTGGCCCAGTGGCCTGTGGCCAGTTAAAATTACAAAGGGCTTGCTGAAACGTAGAGTAGATGGCCTGTCTGGTGAGTCAAAATTTCACCCCTTCTCCGTGTGTTTGATTTTTTAATGGATCATCTCAGTAGAATGACAACTGTCCGCCATTTTGTAATGTTGTGTACAACTACTTCTTTGTTTGCTCATAAATCGCCATGAAATGAAGCAAATGGAAGCCAAGATTTAATCTCAGATTGCGGGAAAAAAACTTCTAAATTCTCAAATTTTCAGAGCCCACCTCAGGTTCGGACACTTTGCGGCCTCAACTATTTAGTTGTAGGCCAGTTAGTTTGGAGAAAGGCCAGTACCTTTTTAAAGGAGCAAGCCCTGCTGGCAACATACAAATTTGTTGTTAAATTTTCCCCTGAATCGAGGGAAGGTCAGCTCTCAGCATGAAAGACAGTGTCAAATGGGATGGTGCTCAGATGGTAGTAGTGGTGTTGTGTTCACTGGGTCTGCTTCCACGTGAAGTATTGGTCTTCTGAAACTCATGCTTGTTGCAAGAGGAGACTAATGGGATCGGGTGGTCAGGCTTGCTGACTTTGTTGATGCAGGTACCTTATCTCAATTGCACAGTTCGATGCTCATGATGTCAATCTCTAGATTTTCTGTCCAGATTTGATTATTTCTAGAGAAGGGTTAAATATTAACGCAAGTCTGGTAATCCGAAACCAATACAATTCAGGAAAGACTAGTGATATTTCCTTGTGGACTACATTTTTTTAACAGGTAGATGGCAACTTTGTTACAGATGTTTTTTGCAGACTTCTGAAAATATAAATCAATTCTATCCCTGCAGACTGCCATCAAGCTAGAATATTGCTGAATGCAGTGTTAAACAACAAAACAGACAAACAAACAAACAAACAAACACAGGATTAGCTATGTGAGGAGCTAATTACATTGATTATGGTGATAACATTTCTGTCTAGTCTGTGGGATAATGGTGGTCGGCAGTTGAAGGTGCTGTAGTTTGCAGTGAGGAGATTGAGAAGAGGAGTCCCTCAGGGGTGCCAGAAAAATATGATCCCAGATTCACCCTGGTTTTATAAGCTCCATACCTGTGCCTGGGACCTGCACTGCACCTGCCCTCCCCCCTCACCAAACAGGCAATGTTGTAAAACATGAACCTGCATCACTAAACCCATCACTTTGTTCAAGCAACACATTGTGCCAAGAAACAGCGACAGATGTCAATTATATCATTAAAAAATGAGAATTATTGCCCATGTGAACAAACAGATTGGCCATTTCAAATGTTATTGTACCATCTAGCTCTAGTACCAATAGACCCGTGAAATCCAAGAAACAGGGACAGATGTCAATTATATCATTAAAAAATGAGAATTATTGCCCATGTGAACAAACAGATTGCCCATTTCAAATGTTATTGTACCATCCAGCTCTAGTACCAATAGACCCGTGAAATCCAAGAAACAGGGACAGATGTCAATTATATCATTAAAAAATGAGAATTATTGCCCATGTGAACAAACAGATTGCCCATTTCAAATGTTATTGTACCATCCAGCTCTAGTACCAATAGACCTGTGAAATCCGGGTTAGAATATGTCTTCTTAAACCCATGCTTCCGTAAAAGGCGACTTTGCTTGTCTAAGAGGCAACTAACGGATCAAGTGGTCAGGCTCAGTTGGTTAATGCATGTCATCACATCCCAATGCATGGATCGATGCTCATGATGTCAATCATTGGATTGTCTGATTCAGACTCGATTATTTACAGCGCCAATATGGCTGGAATATTGGTGAGCGAGGCATTAAACAATAAACAATCAAACTAGTACCAATAATATTTCCCAGGTGAGCTAAACCTTGGTTAGAACTGATCTTCAGCCACCCATGCTTGTTGTAACAGGCGACTAAGGAATCGGGTGGTCAGACTCGCTTACTTGATTGATGCATTGCATTGTAAATCAATTGTGTAGATCAACATGATCAATGCTCATGATGTCGCTCACTGTATTGTCTGGTACAGACTTGATTATTTATAGACCGCCTCATATTGCTGGACTTATACTGTGTGGGTCTTAAACAACAAACAAAACAAACAGGGATAGGTGAGCCCCATCACTCCACAAATCCTCCTCCTCCATATCAGTTAGGACCATCTGTCAGTGCTCCGGCTGCAATACCATTACAACTCAAATAAAATATCACCAGTACTTTGTTTGGTTGACTTTCTGTTGATAATAAGTAGATCCTGAAATGAGAGGCGTGTGACTCGTCGGAACAGGGAACAAATTGATTCCCTCAAGTGATGACAGCAGCCAGGGAGCTGGTGCGCAGTCCTCCCAGGGGTGTCAGGGGAATAGGGCGTGTATGAATTATAAATCGGTAAAAAGACGACCAGCATCCACCCGACACCTTGCTACGCCAGTTCATGTTTGTCAGGTCCCTGGTGTAATGCAAACAACAGGCGGCCGACGCTAACAAGATTTGTAATGATTTGATGAGAAGCACTTCAGCAATGCATTACGCTAATTGTATCTTAAATCATGGTTCACTTATGAATTCATGTATGATGTATTGGATTGTTAATATGAATGATGCTGGTTATTTGTGGGAATGATAATTGGGGTTTATTGATTCGTGCAAAAATAGTTTATTTTGATTTTTCTTATTAAAAAGTTTTGAATAAAGTAATCTATTCCAGTGTTGAAACTTAGGGAGGTCACAGTGTCTTGACTCTGGGAACACCCCCAGTCTCTTCATTTTAGGATTGTCTGAGAGGAATATCCATGTTAAACTGTGGAATGGCATCTCAATGGGTTAAGACTTTAAAACAATTAGAAGATACAGAGACAGACATTTGTGAAAAGAATTAAATGAGGAATAAATCTTGTATCTTCCATCTATTGCACCATATAAGATAGGAATATAGAAGGAACCGTGTTTATTTCACGATAAATCATTGTTCTATCATAACATCGTTTCTGGATATTTGAATATGTGCTCACAACTTGATGATGTCGTACATTGGACAACGTTATTTTTGAGAGGGAAGTATCTATTGAGTTGTTCCCCAATGATGTAGCTGGAGTGCACAGATGAATGCAATGGCCAAACAATCGCATCCAGAAGAGGGAGAGATATGACAGTCAGTATTGGGAGAAAAGGTGCAGATAATCGACGTGAAAATTGTAAGAATACCAAACTTAACCCCCCTGTACATAAAATGGAGTTGTCCGACATTGCCGAGGTCGGATTGTTTTCGGGGAGTCATCATTATTTAGAAATAGGTAAATGTTTTGAAAGCTTTCACAGTTTACTGACATCCTTAAAAAGGCTGTACAAAATGTTGATTTCTAAGACATAAGAAATAAACGACTCGTGGTCGTTGTTTATCTTACAATAAAACACATCAGGGAGAATAAACAACTTGGGGCGCAATTACATCTCAGAAAAAAACAGAGGTGTGGTGATGTAAGTTGTATTGAAGAGGCTTATCACAGTGGAAGGCGCCAGAAATGGTCATGACACATTGTTCCCATGTGGGAAATTCAACCTGAACCTTCAGCGTGACGAGAAAACACTTAAACCACTAGGCTAGCACACTGCCCCCAACTTACACAAAGAGTGAGTGAGTGAGTTGGGTTTAACGCCGCTTTAACAGTATTCCAGTTATATCGTGGCGTGTCAGCTTAATGTGGGAGGAAAGCCCGAAGTGATGCAGATCTCAGACGTTTACCACTTCGGTGAAACCCACGGGTATGGTGCTGACAAACCTGTTACATAATCGCGGCAAACCAGGATTCGAACCAACAATCATAGGTTTCTGGCGTGGCCAAGGGACACAACTCTGCACAACGAATCGCGCCGCCTTAGACGACTAGGCCACCCGTGCCCCCACTTACACAAAGAATAAATGAAAGGTCATTAATACTATTGTGTGTTTTTTTTTTTCAGAAATACAAATGGATTGGGGAGATATCAGAGGAGATGAAGAACCTGTGCTGACATCTACACATGTATATAACTTTATGTAAATTATTCATGATCCATCGTCAACAATAAAACATCATTTACAGACCAAGGATTATTCTTTTCATTGTAAAATGTCCATGTACTAACAAAGATTCCCATGTCACTTCCAGTGTTTTAAGGTACTGTACCTATCTGTGGAGAGTTGTGTCCCTTTATCATGCCAGGATCCTTGGTCAGCACAATACCTCTGCCTGTTGGTTTCTCCAAGGTGGTAAAATTCCTGTGTAGCTGTTGTAGCAGTTTCATGAGGAATTGGTGTTCAGCAACCCATGCTTGTAGTAAGAGGCGACTAACAGGATCAGGTGGTCAGGCTCTCTGACTTGGTCGATGCATGGCATTGTATCCCAACTGCCTACATCGATGCTCATGATGTCAATCACTGGATTGTCCTGTACAGATTTGATTATTTACAGACAGCTGTCATTTAGCTGGAATACTGCTGAGTGTAACGTTAAACAACAAACAAACAAACAAACAAAGTATCACGAGGGGTACTTTAGGTTTTATGTGTTCTTCCTTGGGTTTTATGCCACAAGCCGGGGTCCCATGTTAGTTTTATACCACGATGGACTCATAAAACCACATGGTCCCCAAGTGATCCTGCTACAAGAATTTATCTTATGGACATGTTTTAATCTGCCATTGGGGGGCACAGGTGGCCCAGTCGTGTAAGGCGCCGCGATTCGCTGTGCAGAGTTGCGTCCCTTGGGCACGTCAGAAACCTATGATTGTGGGTTCGAATCCGGTTCGCCCCGATTATGTTTCTAGGTTTGTCAGCACCATACCCGTGCTCGTGGGTTTCACCGAAGTGGTAAACGTCTGAGACCGGCATCACTTTGGGCTCTCCTCCCACATTAAGCTGATAATATAACTGGAATACTGTTAAAAGCGGCTTTAAACCCAACTCACTCACTAATCTGCCATTGTAAAAGAATTAGAACAAATTCAAAATTGATAGAAAACAGCTGTTCCATTGAGCTGAGGTTAACTTGTGCTTTGTCACATGAATTTCATTGACTTGAAAAGGGAAAGCGGCTTTTGCTTCGAAGTGGGTTAAATGGATTTATTCTTCCGATCAAAACTCCAGGTGTAGCCTGTTTTCTTCGTGGCGGGTATAGGGGATCTATTCTCCCTCTCGGAACTTTATTTCCCTCACAGGTGGGATACACAGTATTTTATCAAGATCATGTGAACCAATCACATCTCGACATTCTGACATGGAGGTATGATAAATTATTTTATCAATATCACATGAACCAATCAATTCTCGTCATTTAGATTTGGAAGTAAGATAACAAGCCTTATTACCCAGTTCTCTTTAGTGGACTCTTCCAACTTGGAGTGACTGGGGATTCCAGGAACGAGGGGTCCCAGCATCACATGCTTCTTGTGAGGAGGATTGGTTGGTCATTCTGGAAACTTAACCAGTGTCAACGCACTCCGACCTTGTAGATGGTTGTTCAAAATATCAGTCACCAGACTCCTACACATCATGTAGTTGCAATATTGCCGAGTGCACCCTTAAACAACCACACAAACGCAGTCAACCGTGTCTGACCAACAGATCCGTTCACTCACCAAGTAGGACTGACTCTTAGCTTTGGGAGAGAGGAAGGTCAATGGTTTGATCCCCTGTCTTGCCATACCAAAAGATGGTACTTGTTAATCCACTGCCTGCTACTCAGCTTTAAGGGGATAAAACAAGGTTGGTTCTGATATCCGCATTAGTCCGTAAACGCAGCCATATATACACATACACATTCATGCATGTTGCTGTATACATGGAATAATCTTTAACAAGACCTTTCAATTCTAACTTGGAATCCCCACTGAGGATCCTAAAAGTAATCTTCATGGTCGGTTGCCACGGCACGGGTGGCCCAGTCGTCTAAGGCGCCGCGATTCGCTGTACAGAGTTGCATCCCTTGCGCACGCCAGAAACCTGTGATGGTTCGAATTCCGGTTCGCCCCGATTATGTTTCTAGGTTTGTCAGCACCATACCCGTGCTCGTGGGTTTCACCGAAGTGGTATACATCCGAGACCTGCATCACTTGGGGCTTTCCTCCCACCGCGACTGGAATACTGTTAAAAGCGATGTTAAACCCAACTCCCTCACTCACTCATGGCCAGCTGCTTATTGCCAGTTTAGAATACAAGATGTAATAAGTGCTATGTGTGTAAACTTAGGTGTTGTTTAGAGATATATACATTTTTTTGTAAAGATGATTTTTCAACAAAAAAAAGAGGGAAAATGTAATATTGACCAGATTTATTTTTTATTACCCTTTGTAGTGGGCCAGACAGTAAAGTTGCTATTACAATTTTTGTTTGAAAATATGCAAGAAAGGATCCCTTAAACATGTAAGTAAAAAAGCGTCATCTGAACGACATCTACAATTAGAAACACGAGAATGATATACATCGTTATTCCATGTTACCTCAACTGTGTCCAGATCGTTACTCATGCAGTCAGCCAGTTTGGCCAAGATTTCATTTTTGTAAGGCTGTCCTGTTAAAATTGATTACTGCAGATGATGTGTAGTATGTATTAAAAACCATGAACCATTTGAGAATTGATCTATTTAATCATGAACACAAATACGAATCCGTGACATCGTTCACCGCACAAGCCCCGCCCATTCTATTGTCAGCCAATGAGGAAACAGTATTTAGTGGGGTGGCCTAATTATTTTTCGGTGTATGGAAACATACATGTACTCTAAAAGAGAACATCTTCCCGAGGCAAGTGAGTTACTGACTATAAAAGTCCAGTTTCCACCCTTGCCGAACTAGGCTGGTATTATGGAGTTACATTTTGGCTGGACTAACGAGTCTCTGCATAGTCCAATCAAAATCGCGCACCGAAATCGAAATCCAGTTCGTAAAGTGTCATGCAGATTTCGGTCGACTGCAGGATTTGCAAAGCATGTGCACCGCTAACTCGTCAACAGATATTTTCTAAATCTTTTCATGTTTTTAATCAAGGTGCTCACGTGATTTGATGCACTTCGCAATGTAAGACTCGTTTTGTCACAATATAGATCTTGATTATCGATCAGATCGTCTTGACTGGGCGCCACCGTTTTGTTTGAAGCAAGTGCAAGTGATACGAGAGGTTGAATCTGATTGGTCAATAGGAGAGGCATAGAAAGGACATAACTTGTAATAGCCACTTGTGGCGCTACGATCGAGCCCAGGAATTCCAGCCAAGTTCGGCAAGGGTGGAAACTGGACTTTTAAAGTCAGTTAACTCCCTTGCCTCGGGAAGATGAAAAGATAATTGCTTGTTAGACAATTAAATCACGTGCACGGAATCACGTGCAATTGAAATATTTTCACATTACCAAAGTAAGCGTTGCACATGTTGCTGCTGGAAAACATATCTTTTACTTACCTAACATCTGAAAATGACATTTTCTTATCAATATGCCATAAACATCTTCTTTCTGAACACCACTTCATGTGTAACTGAGCGGTATTGTTAAATATATAGGATGGTTGTCATCGGTGTGATTGTTCCTTGTTCAGCACAGTACTCGGTCATCTACGAGGGGCTACCATTTGGTGTGAGTTTCGTTCCCAGGCAACCTGTGATCATGGGTTAGAAATCCGACCTGACTCTTGTTCTTGGTTTTCAGTCCTTCTCCTGCTTGTGGGCTTCACCAAAGTGGAAATCATCTCAGACCTGCATCAGTTGGGCTTTTATCCCTCACCAAGCTGATACCTCATAATGTAACTGATACCCGTGAAGGTCCAGGGTAGAAGAGGTCTTCAGCAACCCATGCTTGCCGTAAAAGGCGACTGTGCTTGTAAGAGGCGACTAATGGCATCAGATGGTCTGACTTGACACTTGCCTATATTTGGACCTGTGAAGATCCGGACTAGAATTCGTCTTCAACAACCAATGCTTGCTGTAAAAGGCCCCTATGCTTGTTGTAAGAGGCGACTAACGGGATCGGGTGGTCAGGTTGGCTGACTTGGTTGATGCATGTCTTCGTATCCCAATTGCGTGGATCGATGCTCATGATGTCAGTCACGAGATTGTCTGGTCCAGACTCGATTATTTACAGACCGCCGTGATATAGCTGGAATATTGCTGAGTGCGGTGTAAACAACAAACAGTTTAACGTGAAACCCAACTCACTCACCTCCCAGGGTTCTGGGTTAAGGGTTCTTAGTTTCTCAGAACAAAACACTCCTAGTTTCTCAGAGTGAGTGAGTGAGTTGGGTTTAACGCCGCTTTTAACATTATTCCAGTTATATCACGGGTGTCAACTTAATGTGGGAGGAAAGCCCGAGGTGATGCAGGTCTCAGACGTTTACCACTTCGGTGAAACCCACGAGCACGATATGGTTCTGACAAACCTAGAAACATGATCGGGGCGAACCGGGTTTCGAACCCACAATGATAGTATTCTGGCGTCCCCAAGGGACGCAACTCTGCACAGCGAATCGCGGCGCCTTAGACGACTGGGCCACCCGTGCCCCTAGTTTCTCAGAAGAACAAAACACTTGTGGGTATCACCAAAGTTGTAAATGTCTAAGACCTGCATCACTTTCTGACTTTCCTCACAAATAATGTTTCAAGTGCTGTTAAACCCAAATAATTCACCGTTTCACTCACTCACTCACTCGCCTAGAATATCCTAGGCATTGTGTTTTCCCGCATACCTGAAACACATTCTGCAGCTGAGTTTTTCAATCTGTGCAAGTGGATGGCGATGGTAACGGAAGCCAAGTAAGACCACCAACTTAGGGATTTACAATAATTGGAAGGTTATTTTGGGCGCTGGATATAGAATCACCTGCATTTGCTTTCCTTCGCACATACACAAGATCATAATAAATTCACATCCTTGTGTCACAATATCGATTGCTTAACCCTTGTAATGAACAGTTTTTATATGGCAGCAGAGACTCTTTGTTGTGTGTCAGTGGCGGCAAATGATTGAAGCGCTAGTAAAATGCTGAGCACCGTGGACTACGGCGAGTGTGGAAATGAGAGTTACCTACCCTGGTTGTTAACAAACATGTCAGACTTGAT